AAACTGTGAGTGAATAAGTAAGTAAGGAGGAAAAAAAGAAAAGAGAGGGAGAGTTAGAGAGAGTATGTGTGTGTGAAAGAGAGAGGGCGAAGTAAGCAGAGGACATTTCAAGCTGTCTCCTGAAGTGAGGAGAGAAATGAATTCATTAGATCTCGGTTGAAATTAACTTCAAAGTAAGGTAAAGTGTGCCCAAAGTAGGATGGTTAGGTGGGCATGGGTGGAACTCGAAAAACAGACACCTACTGGACGATTTTGATAATATGGAAAGTGCAGAAATATACAAATCAACAGAGAACTGCATGTACTGTATGTGTTAGACGGTAATGTGCCATGAAGATAGAGTAAATGACAAAAGTCTCCTTGCAGTCTTTTAACTGGAAAGAAAAGCATCACAATCAAAGCCATAGAGAAAGATTTAAAGTTCAGTGTGGAGAATCCAAATGTTATCTTAGAGGAAAATAATTTGAACACTATTTGTATAATGAACGCACATATTTTTCCCGCTCAGGATAAAAAAAAAAAAAAAAAAAAATCACTCCAGCCTAATATACATATATATGTGTAATATATATATATATATGTATATATATATATATATATATATATATATATATATATATATATATATATAATATATATTATATATATATATATATATATATATATATATATATATATATTTATATAGAGGTACACAAACACATATATAGATAGATATATATATATATATATATATATATATATATATATATATATATATATATAATATACATATACATACAGCTATTTCTAGACTTTGGAATAGATTGTCTTCAGAGATTTTACCTTCGACTCTTAATAATTTTAAAGGATGAACTACCGTGTTTCTCTTACGTAAATAGCTGACTTTCTATTCTTCCATTCTTTCCTAGCTGTATCTTGACCTTCTCTGATACCGTTGGTGGTATGAATCTTGATTTTTTTTTCAGCTTGGCTCCTTATAGAGCTAACAATAATAATAGTAGGAATAATATCAATATATATATGTATATATATATATATATATATATATATATATATATATATATATATATATATATACAAACACACATGCACACATATGTATATCATATATATATGCTTATGTGTATGCATACATATGCATACATATATACACACATACATACATGTATAAACATATTTATATATACATTTTATATATGTATGTGTCTATATGTGTATATATTAACACATATAGATCTAAACGTATATTTTATACATACATACCCATATATAAATGTATGTATATATATATATATATATATATATATTTATATATATATATATATATATATATATATATATATATATATATATATATAATATATATATATATATTATATAATAGCCATTTATATATATTACATATAATATATATATATATAATATATATATATATATATATATATATATAATATATATAT